ATATATATATATATATATATATATATATATATGTATATAAATTTAAATTAAGAAATGACCTTGATCTTGTGAACTAATGACACTTTTTAAAGATATAAGCTCATCCCGATGTTACACTCATCGAGACCTTTCATTTGAGTACCCACATCAATTTTTCATATATTTTATATATTTATATATATATATGTATATATGAAAAATATATAAAAATGCATGTGGGTACTCAAATGAAAGCTCTTGATGAGTGTAACATCAGGATGAGCTTATATCTTTAAAAATGTCAATATTTAAAAAAGTAGAATGCAATTTAACAAAATTACTTATTTAATAAAGTAAAATTTTATTTATTCATAGTTCATAAGTCACGACAGTGACATAGTTACTCCAAGGTTGCTAGTTATTAATATATATCAGAATAATAAAATTTTTCAGGGTGATGGAGGAGGTCCACTAGTTTGTCAAGACGACGGATTTTACGAACTAGCTGGTTTAGTCTCCTGGGGATTCGGATGTGGCCGAGTAGACGTACCTGGTGTTTACGTGAAAGTATCTGCTTTCATCGGTTGGATCAATCAAATAATATCCGTTAATAATCTTTAGCTTTTTCATTACCAATAATAATAATAATAATAATAATAATAATAATAATAATAATAATAATAATAATTGTTATATTCATTATTAATTCATTAAAAAATAGTATTTATTTAGTTGATTATTTTCGTTGCATTTTGACGATTGTTAAAAAAAAATTCTTTTTCTTCCCAAACAATTTTATTGTCAAAATGCAACGAATTAATTTATTTTAATTCTCCTAACTACGCTTTGTATATTTATGCCTTAGTTATAATTTATAATTATGCCATGACTTTATAAAATTTTAGTATTTTTTTAAATTTGTAAAAAAATTTATTAAAAAAAATTACTTTTATATTTTTATACTAAGTTAATATGTGTGTTGTGTTATATTTGAATTTATATAATTAAAAATTAATATTAAAACAAAAAAAAAGTATTAATATTTATGTATCGCATATATATATATATATATATATATATATATCTAATAAATTTTATAATTTTCTTTCCAAAAAAAGGTCACTTTAATTAAAAATTAACTAAAAAATTCAATACATACAATTTTATTAATACAATCTTATAAGTCGGTTTTATTTTTTATAAAAAAAATGTATTTAAAAATATAAATTCACTTAACAAAAAAAAGGTTAATATAGTCCCTTAACAACTAAAAAAAACTAATCATTATGGCTCGTTAAAACTTTCTTAGAATATTTCCTCGGAACAAATTTCGGCTGCTTAGAAATCCTCTTATCTCCACTCCGCTTCTTCCCATTCTCCTTATTATTACATATAAACTCATCACTAGAATTCTCCCCAGAAGTCAAACTACTCCTTTGGAAATCCGAAAGCTCTAGATTAATCTGCTGCTCGGACCTAGCAGTAAACAATTTCGTCCCAGCCTCCTTAACCTTATCAACAGATCTAGATCTAGATCTTTGAACTGGAGTCGGAGGAACCACTTCAGTTTCGTTCAAATTACTCGCTAAAGTAACATCCAGTTCCTCATTATCCTCCTCCTCCTCCTCCTCCTCCTCATCCTCAGGATGTTCTTCCCTCCACTTCCTGAACTTCTCCACAATCCTCTCCCTGGGGGACATCTCCACAATCTTCCTGGGATACTCAAAATCTTTCTTAACCGGAGTCGCTCCAGTAGGAGTATCCTTCTTAACTTCATCTTCAAAGAAGCGCTTCAAGCTTCCTTCAATCTTCTCCACATTTCCAACCAAACCCTCCTTTTGCCCTCCAACCTTCCTTTCAACCTCCTCAACACTCCTTCCAACCTCTCTACTCATCTCCAAAACTTCCTCTGCATACTCCTCAATCAACCCACAATCCTCCTTAAGATCTCTCCCCAAAACCTCCTTAAACCCTCCAACCTTCTCCTTCAACCCATTCTTATCCTTCTCAACCAATTCTGCAGCCTTAACCATCTTCTCTTCAACCTTTTCTCTATAATCACTCACAATCTGACTGGCATCACCCAACAAACTCTTAAACTTCTCCGCTAATTTCTCTCCACTGCTAATAGTCTCCTTAGCAATTCCACAATTGACCTTAACACTCTCCCCAATCACCTCCTGAATCCCCTTAACATTATTAGTAACCTCCGAGTCTACAAAACTCTTCAACCCTTCGTGCTTCTCACAAACCTCCTTAACCTCTCCCTTAACAATCTCCAACTCTCCCAACCAAACTTTAGTAACCTCAGAATCCTTCTCACGTTCACTCCTAATCCCTTTTCTCAATTCCAAATAATTATCCATCATTTCTTTCATCAGTTCATCAAACTTTTCCTCTTTATTTTTATTAACCACATTACAATCTTCCCTAATCTTGATTTGTTCTTCAAGATTAGCAAGCTTACTCCCAACCAAATTCATTTTTTCATTCATAGTCAAGTACAAATCTGTAACAGTAACTTGCAAATGCTGCCTCAAACATCTCAACTTATTCTGAAGATCTTTTTCAACACTAGCTAGATTTTCCGCAATCTGATTGTTCACCAATCTTTTTATCTCATTAGCAAAGTGTTCGGAAACATTAATCAACTTTTTTTTTTCCTCCTCATCAATTTCTCTAGTACTTATTACAATATTTTCAAACAAACTTTTGTAATTCGCAGCATTAGCACAAGTTACTTCTTCAAATTCTTTCAAATTTCCTTCAGATTTTTCCAAATCTTTCTCTCTTTTTTCCACAAATCCTTCAAGATTTTTCTTACAACCATCTGAGCGTTCAGAAATCAATTCTTTGACACCCTTAGACTCTTTTATAACCTCAGAAGAGTATTTGTTAACATCAGTAATCAATTCTTTCAACGACTCGCTAATTCTGGAGACAAAAGATTTACAAAGCTGGTCATTTAGATCCTCAACTTTATTCTTCCTCGCTATTTTATCATGCAAGCGATTAGTATGATCGGTAGCAGTGTCAGCGACTTGCAAAAGAGTCTGAGCTTGGCTCGACAAGCTTTCTTTAATCTTTTCTAGATTATCTACTAAATATTTTTGCTCGTCCCGATCCTGCTTTATAATTTTGACTTTCAAGGAAGTTTTTTCAAGCTTATAACTCACTTTTTCAAATAATTTTGATTTATTTTCAAGTTCTTCTTGAAGAACTTTAATAAATTGAATTTTCTCTTCAATTTCTTTCCCTTGGGAGGTATTATTAGCCACCAAACGATCATAATCTTCAGAAGATAAATAAACGCCATTGCGCTCGCGAGTTGCAAGCAAGTCGCGCTTCAATCGCTCAATTTCTTCCGTGTATTCTTTTATCAAAGTAGCTTTAGTGAGTTTCTGATTGATCTCGGGACGATTGGTGATATTCTTAGCGCGATGCGCGTAATCTAAAGTAGAGAGAGTTTCTTCTAGATTCAAAGAAGAGGGAGATATAGTCGCAATTATAGAAGTTTTGGTTCTTCCTCCGAGAGAATCTTGGAGTAAACGAGTGAGTTTGGACTCTCGGTAGGGAATATGGGGACCTCTTTCTACTAAAGCGGTTATAACTCGGCCTAAAGTTAAGAGGGATTGGTTTATATTGCCAGCTTCGCGGGCTCGCTTGTCTACTGCGCCGGAACGGCCTACGTTTTCGGAGCCAGCGAGGTCTACTAGGTTTAGTTTACCGGTTTTGATAAGCTCCTCGCCTTCCACGGAGCATTCTTTCATGTGCACGGTTATGGAAAATACTGTATGAGAACGGCTGGAGGAAGCGTTCATTAAAGTCGCCGCGGTCTGGCGCTTTTCGGAACCACGTTGGAGGATTTTGTAAACTTCGTCTTTATTGTGGACTATTACTTCTTCGAGGCCTTGGATTATTACTGAGCCTTTTTTTGTTGAGTCTTCAAATAATCTAGTTTTTAATTGTAAAATAAATTTAGTTTAGATTTTTGTTTTGAAGGATCATTCTGGTTTTTTTTTTTTTTTTTTTTTTTTTTTACATTTTTAAAAAGTACATGCGACCCAGATGCCAAAAGGGCTATAAAAATTTTTTTTCGCCATTTAACTTAGAACTGCTCAAAAGCTTAAGGATTTGTCAAAAAAAATTTTTCAATGTACTAATACCAAAAGGGCATATCTCAAGACATACACCTTTTTGGCTTTAGAAAAAGTTTAGCCTAAAGCTTGGCGTGACCTACCAGTTGATATCATAAACGCACTGAGTCTTGAGACTTTCAAAATTAAAGCTTTTGAATTCTTTCAACACCTGGAGTTAGAAAATCAAACGTGTAAATAAATATTTGATTTATAAATGATAAATTTCATTGATACTAAAATTAGTTTAATTACCAAACTGATCTATACAAAATGCTATTATATAAAAATTGCATTTCTTTTTTCTATTTTTCTCTGTATTTTAATTAGATTTATACTGTGTTCTCACTATTATACAAAGATGTAAAATTGTTTCATAATGTTACTTACGTGTACCATTGCCATTATGTATTTCTACCATTTGCTATTCGGCTTTTAGCCTTGGCATTTAAATAAATAATAAATTAATAAATAAAGCCAAAAGATCGTATAAAAAAATTTTCAATTTTGCTCTGAAATATAAAATTTGACTCTAAAAAATAAATCCAGATGATTTAATATTGTTGAATTTAGCGCCTCTGACTCAGCAACCATGTTAGACATCGCCACTTTTTTTTTTTTTCTTTTTCAATTAAAATTATAAACAGAATTCGTATTAAATTTGTAATAAGGTAAATGACCCAGTTATTGACACTGGCCTAGTTGTTTGACATTTGCAATTTTATTCTAATTAAAAAAATTAAATGTTCTCAAAAAACCGATTTTTTAAAAATTTATAATTAAAAAATTATATTTATTAATTTATTAGAGTTGACTTGTTTTTTTTTTTTAATTAAAATTTATTTTTTTTATTTTTAGACTTAGAAAGTGTTAATAAAGCGATTAGTAAAAAAAAAAAAAATTTTATACACTCTTTTGGCACTGCAAAGCCAAAAGGACGTATAAATTGATATGCGCCTTTTTGGCATTTGGGTCGCGATGTATCTAAAAGTATTTTTTCGAACGACGCAACCAGAATGATCCTTTAAATAAATTTTATAATAATAATTACTTGAGTTTTGAAGCATCTTCGTGTGATGACAGCAGATCAAATAATTCCTCATTGTACAGTTCGAGAAAAGATACCTTTACGGTATACTCCTGCGTTCCAAGGCGTAGGTCATCGAAGAGATTACTCAATGCTCGTGGTATTATTCCAGCATCTGAATTCTATTTTTATAATTTTATTAATATTTTATGCAGTAAAAAAATTTTAATTAATTGAGATATTTAAAACTATTCTAAGCAATCTTTTATGTTCTATTATTCAAGTATTAATTTTAATATGTACTCATTATGTAATTTACTTAATTATGATAGTCCTTAGGGCGCACTTGCTCCAGGATTAAAATTTAATAAATATATAAATTAATTTTCAATTTTTAATTAAATTAATGATAGATAATTATTTTTACCGTCTGCCAAGATGCTGCTGGATCACTACCGGCACCTTCCATCGTATATGTTTTTCCTGTACCTGTTTGTCCATAAGCAAATACGGTACAATTGTAACCAGCGAGTACTTCTGCTACAAAAGGATTTACCACTGCTGTATAGACGTCCAGCTAATAAATAATTTAATAATTATTAGTAAGTTACTTCAATTTTTTACAATACTAAAGTTAGCCAACGTTATTAATTTATTAATTTTTTTTTTATTAAAAAAATTCGATAAAAAAAATATTTTTTAAAAATTTCACTTCCAATTATTCAAGTTTTTTTTAAATAATTCTTGTAATAAAAAAAAAATTCTAAAAATTTCTAAATGTCGGCTAACTTAATAATTTAATAAAATTGAATTAAAAAATATTAAATAAATTTTATTTAAAAAATAAATATTAAAACAATTAATTTTTAAATTAATAAATTTTATATAATTAGTCAGAATATCAATCAGCACGTGTTTACAGTTCGGCCATCTTTTTCTAACCTCAATAAATTAAATACCTGTTTAGATTTTGGTCCGAAAACTCTATCAAATGTAAATTTCTTGGAAACTTTGTCCTGTGGTCGTTCTCGCACCAGGACTTCTTTGTAACTCGGTACATCGATAACAGTGAAAGATTTTCCACATGATTCACTTTGATTTGACGGTCTGAAAAAATTCACAATAAATAAATAAATAAATTTAACAAACTTTAATAAAATCCAACTAAAAAAAAATAATAATTTAAATAAATTTGATTGTTGACAAAAATGAGGGTTAGGACTTGGCGTCTTACCTCACTCGCACAAACACTTGAATATGTTGATTTTTATCTTTCTTAGATCTGTTCGATAATTCACTCATTTTTACTTTTAATTAATCACACTTGTTTATAATAATTATCCTCACAAAAGTAACTAATTAAATGTCACAATTGCCGGAGAAATTAAAGATGCACTTTATACGAGTTTAGTTTATCGTTTATGTTTTGACGGTTACACCGGAAACTTTTTTAAATGTTAGTTTAGTTCACGTTTTTTCAACCACGTGGCGCTTCAGTCGATTTTAACTGTTCTTCCAGATGACAGTGTTAATTTGAAATTTATTATTTTTATAACTTACAAACTTTAAATTAATTATAAAAAAATTATTTTTTTATTTAATTAATTTTGTTTTTTAATTATTTAAGAGTAAAATTGAAAATTTTTTTAATTTAAACAGATATTTTGGAAAAAATTAAAAATTATAACATTGAAGTTGACATTAAATATTTTTATATAAATTTATAACAATTAAATTATAAAAAAAAAAAATTAAATTAAATAAAAAAATAATTTTGTGAAAATTTTTAAAAGCATTTTTAGTGCTTTAATTAATTTTTTATAAATTTTAAAAAGTGACAGCTGTCAGCTGACTTCAGTTTGATATTTATTAAAAATAATTTATCAACAATAAAAAAAATTATAAATAATTTTTTAAACACCTTTAAGTAAGTAAATATTATTTTTTCATAATTAAAAGTAAAATATTTTTTTTTTATTGAAAAAAAAGCCATTGCATAAAAATTAAATTAGCCGACATTTAAAAATTTTTAGAATTTTTTTTTTAGTGAAAAAATAATTAAAAAAAAAATAGAAAAAAATTTCACGTGTACAAAACTTCAAAAACTATAAGTGTAATTTTTTAAAAATATTTTTTAGTTCTAATTTAATAAATGAAAAATAATCAAAAAATTAAAAATGTCGGCTAAATTTAATATTATATTGCGCAGGCGCTAAAGTCCGCCATTTTTGTTTTTTGAGGTTAGATGATAAAAAAAGCTGTGGTAGCAAAACAGACAATAACAAGACAGTAATAACATTAATATAAAAAATAAATTGTTCAATGTTATAAGCCCTAAGTGAAAAATAAAATTATTGTAATGCGGCATGAAACATTCCATGACACGACAGATTTAAAGAAGCGCAAGCCAAATCGTCTCCGAGGAACTCCAGCAAATAAATATTCTCATGCGTTAAGTTTTGCTTGTGTTTTAGGGTTTGCGTTGGGTTGTAATTTATTTACGTAAGTATTATTAATAAATATTATTTAAAAAAAATGACACTGAAGTTTACAGACGTCTAAAAATTTTTGATTTTTTTTTTTCAATAATTAAATTAAAACAAAAAAATATTTTTAAAAAATTTCACTTACAGTTTTTCAAGTTTTTTACAAGTGACATTTATTAAAAATTTTTTTGTAATAATTTTTTCAATAAAAAAAAAAAAAATTCTAAAAATTTTTAAATGTCAGCTAAATTCATATTCATAAAAAAAAATATTAAATAAATTCTATTTAAAAATTTCAGAAGAGCCGAATGGGCGCAACCTTACTTAATCCGGTTTTTCGAGAACACAGCACCGTCAGTACACCAGGAACGGCAAAAGTGGATGATAAATGACCCGTTGATAAACTCAATAATAAAAAACAAGCAGGAAAAAGCAGAAGGAATCGTAAGAGAAGACGGAAGAGTTTACAGCTCGGCTACCTACTAGATAATTTTAGTAAAATGGATACCAAAAGGTAGTTTGTAGAGGATTTAATAAAAATGTCTGGTTGATATTAAAATTGTTTGTTAATTATTTTACTCCACTCCTAATTTTTTTATAAATTAATTTTTTTATTTACTTTTAGCACACGCGGTGGCAAGGAGAAGAATGATAAGAGAGTTTCGTCGGCTAGCGAGGATAGTTTGAATGATTTTAAGACTCCGCCGTCAACTAGGGCTTCCAAGTCGTTGGATGTTAAACACAGTGGGTTTGACAGCGATAATTCTCCGGCTGTAAGATCTATTAATTCTAGTTTTGATAATAGACCAGGTAATTATTATTAATTATATTAAAATGAGCAGCTTTGACTATTTTTTAATTTTTTTTTTGAGAAAAAAAATTATTTTCTAAAAAATTGCATTTTTATTTATTGAAATTTCTATGTCAATTTTTTTTTTTGCACTAATTTATGATGATGAGTATTTAAGCTGCATTTAAAAACGTCAATAGTTAAAAAAGTACAGAGCAATTTAACAAAAGTCATTTTTAATAAAGCAAATTGTTATTTGATTATAATTTATAAGTCACGGCAGTCACATAGTGACTGTACGGTTGCTTGTTTATATAAATCAAAAAAAAAAATAAGTGTAATTTTGTCTTCGGTGTATTTATATGATAAAATGAATTTTTTTAAATTTAATTTAGCGTCATTGGAAAGGTCGAGACCTGAATTTGTTCTATAGTTAATTTATTTTAATAAGTTTCCGAAGTAGTTATAAATAGATTTGAATTTCCTGATAAACAAAATTTATTTATTTATTTCGTTTTGTAAACGTCAATGTGATTATATGTCTAAAATATTTTTGATATATACATTTATGTAATATATATATAATATATATAAATATATGAAAAATTGATGTGGGTACTCAAATGAAAGGTCTTGATGAGTATAACATCGGGATGAGCTTATATCTTTAAAAATGTCAATAGTTGACAAGATATAAGGTCATTTCTTAATTATTGACATTTTTTAAAATATAAACTCATTTCGATGTTACACTCATCGAGACCTTTCATTTGAGTACCTACTTGACATTTTGATATATGTTTCATATATAATATATAAATATATAAAATATATGAAAAATTGATGTGGGTACTCAAACGAAAGGTCTCGACGAGTGTAACATCAGGATGAGCTTATATCTTTAAAAATGTCAATTGTTCTCAAGATACAAGCTAAATCCAAGATTTTTCTTATTCTCTTATAGATGAAAACCAACCAGGACCATCAAACCCCAAAAAGCCAACCAAGAGACCAGTATCACCACCAGACGACAGCTTAGCCGACTTCAAGTCTCCCAAATTAGGACCCAAACCTACCGTAAAACTCCTTGACAAGCCCACAAATAAAACAAGGTCCAAAAAACCAACCCGGAAGCTCAATACTAACAAAAAAGACTCTAATCAAATGTCAATAGAATCCTCATTCTTCAAACCAACTACATCATTCCCCTGTCCTTTATGTTTAAAAACTTTCTCAGACTCTACAAGCCAGATCACTCACTCAAAAACTTGCGCCTCTAAAAATAAAGTATCAACCCGTACATTATTAGAAGCTGTAGCTCTGCAAGAGCGTCAAGCTGAAGAACGTCGCGCAATTGGCTTGCCAGCTCAACCTTTTGCACAACCAAAAAGAAAATCTACGTTCCGACGTTCAGATTTTTGCTCCGAAGATCCAAATGTCCAGTTAGCTCTTGCGTTGTCTGAGTCTCTTAAAGAAGCTCAGGATTTAGAAGAGTTAGACGCTGCAATTGCTTTAACGGGTGAAGAAATTTTATTAAGCTCCTCTCAGAGGCAAAATACGCTAAAGAATTTTGGATTTTTGACTAATAAGCAGACTGTTGAAGTAATAGAAAGGCCTAAAAAGAAGAAATTGAACTCTCAGACTGTTCTTCAGACCCGGAGCCAAGAAACTAGGCAGAGATTGTTGGCTGAAAGAATTGCTGAGGTCATTGTTGATAATTCTGATGCTACTTGGGTTAATTTGGAGGTTCAAGATGAGCTGGGAGAAATTAAATTGATTAGTAAGGTGTTGAAGGAGATTTTGGAGCCGGGGAGAAAACTTTGGAATGGATCGTCGGGGAAAAAAAGAGGTGAGTTTTATTATGTTAAAAATTTAGAGGGATTTATTGATCCTATAGATCTTGATGAGGATCAAAATATTGATCCAGGAGAAAATTTTGTTAATCAGAATGAAATTTTAGAGTTAGATTTTAAGGAAAAAAATTCTAGAGGGTTTAAAAGTAGGAAAAAAGAAAATAAAGAGCTTAAAGAAATGGAACAAGCTCTTGAATCTTCGAAAAAAATTTTGGAACGGTCAAAAAGTGTCTTAGAATCTGCTGAAAATTGTAGCTTTAATTCTTCTGAAGAAAATTTAATTTTAAATGAAAAAAATTGTAAAGAAGATTGTGAAGAAATAAAAAATGAATATTATTTAAATGATGAAAAAAATGTTGGAGGTACTTTAAAAAGGTGGAAATTAATTGGAGAAAATTCTTATAAAAAAGAAGAAATAAAAAAAGACAATTTTGAAATTCTAGAAAAAAAAATTGGAGAAAGTTCAAAAAATTTGAAAGCAACTGGGGAAAATTTTTTGGAGAATAGTTTGCTAGAGTCTGCTGGAAAAAATTCAATTTTAAATAAAAAAGAAGAAATAAAAAATGAAAATTTGAAAATTCTAGAAAATAAAAAAATTGAAAAAACTCCAAAAAAAATGAAATTAACTGGAGAAAATTCTTTAACAAACAATTGGCTAGAATCTGGTGGAGAAAATTTAGATTGTAGTTTTAAATTTTCTGAAGAAAATTTGGTTGAAAATAGTTTAATTTTAAATGAAAAAAATTCTCCTAAAAAAGACAAAATAAATAAAGAAAATTTAAAAATTCTAGTCAAAAAAAAGATTGAAAAAACTTCAAAAAAATTGAAATTAACTGGAGAAAATTCTTTAGAAAATAATTGGCTAGAATCTGCTGGAAAAAATTTAGAAAATTGTAGTTTTAAATCTTCTGAAGAAAATTTAATTTTAAATCAAAAAAATTCTCTTAAAAAAGATAAAATAAAAAATAAAAAAATTGAAGAAACTTCAAAAAAATTGAAATTAACTGGAGAAAATTCTTTAGCAAATAATTGGCTGGAGTCTTCTGGAAAAAATTTAGATTGTAGTTTTAAATATTCTGAGGAAAATTTTGATAAAAATAGTTTAATTTTAAGTGAAGAAAATTCTAAAGAAGAAATAAAAAGTAAAAATTCTTTAGAAGATAATAAGAAAATTGAAGAAACTCCAAAAAAAATTGTAGAAAATTCTTTATCAAATAGTTGGCGAAAAATGTTAAATTCTTCAGATTTAAGCGATGTAATTATATTATGTGAAGATGATAAATTTATTTATGGTCACTCTGTTGTTCTTTGGACTCGTTGTCAATTTTTGTACCGTGATTTAGTAAAGATTGATCAAGTTAATATAAAAAATTTAGGATCTATAGATCAATTTAAGTACCAGATAAATTGGAGAGACATTGATTTTTTTACCGCTTTAGTATTTTTAGAATTTATTTACTGTGGGTATATTCAAGATTTAAAAGTAGAATTTGATAAATTAAATTTGATGGTTAAAAAATATAATTATGATGAATTGAGCGAGTATTTAAAAAATTGTACAAGTTATAATTATTGTAATAATTGTAAGAATAATGAAAGTGTTGATGAAGAAGTAGCGAACTTTTTGTCTCCGGGTAATTTTAAGAGTAATAATACGAATTTAACTATGTCTCCGGATATTTTTGATGATGAAGATTCAATCTGTGATAATTTTGGTAAAATAGACACTAAAAATGATTTAAGTATTGATTTTAACTCTTTAAATGAAGAAGTTGATCAAAAAGAAGAAATAATTGATAACAATTCAAAAACTCTAAGAAGATCATCAACTTGTCCAAATATTGAAAAAATTCAAAGTTTTTCTGAAGATTTAAACGACACGTTAAAAAAAACACGGAGTGATTTGAGCGTATTCATAGAAAAAATCCAAAGAAGAAATGCTAGAGACATTTTATCTGACAGGGATGAAGATTCATTTCTTCCCGAGAAAGAAGCTAAAAAAATTAACAAGTTTAAAAAAGTAGATCAATCTATAACAGACAGGTACAAAAATATTGACCTAAACTCTTGTAATATTAATTTGCGACGCGGAAGTCGATTTTGGGCTGCGAAAAAATCTATTGAAAAGCCTGAAAAAGTTGTTAAAAAATCAGCTTTGAGTATTTTTGAAGATGATATTAGAGAGAAAGTTGCTAAAAATCAATTAAAAAATTTTGAGATTGAGAGCGATGAAGAAATAAAAGATCTTTCTAATTTAACGCAAAGTTTTGAAAGCAACGATCCAAATATTTCTATGTATTCTAAATATAAACTTACTCATAAGGAGAATAGTATTGCTTATTACAGAAATTTGATAAAAGAAAGCGATTCTGAAGAAGAAATACTTAATTTTAGCCAGAAAGTCTCAGAACAAGGTCTTAAGAGCCCAGCGCCATCTGTTGGATCAAATAGACAACAATTCTTAGGTCCTAAGAGCCCAGCGCCATCTGTTAGATTAGAAAAACAACAATTTTTAGATCTGTGCAGCCCAGCGCCATCTGTTGGTTCAAATATTGAAACAGAAAAAGACGCCATCTGGGAAGATGATTTAGAGGTTAAAATTGATAATAAAAAATTAGAAGATAATGTTTTAAGTCAAAAATCTCTTCTTGATATTGACTTTAATGAAAATGATTTTGAAGATGATGATTTTGTTGATGAAATAATTGAAAAGTCTTTTAGTTTACAAAAATCTGGTGAATTTAAAGGTTATAGTCAATCATTTAATTCTGACAAAGTTATTGATGTAGATGAAGAAGTCTCAGAACGAGGTCTTTGCAGTCCAGCGCCATCTGTTGGTTCAAATATCGAAACAGATAAAGACGCCATCTTAGAAAGTAATTTAGAGGTTAAAGTTGATGATAAAAATTTAGAAAAAAGTCAAAAATCTCTTCTTGATATTGACTTTAATGAAAATGATTTTGAAGATGATGATTTTGTTGATAAAATAGTAGAAAAGTCTTTTTGTTTACAAAAATCTGTTGAATTTAAAGGTTATAGTCAATCTTTTCATTCTGATAAGGTTATTAATGTAGATGAAGAAGACTCAGAAGGTTTTAAGAGCCTAGCGCCATCTGTTGGCTCAAATGGACAACAATTCTCAGGTTTTTGCAGCCCAGCGCCATCTGTTGGTTCAAATGTTGAAATAGAAAAAGACGCCATCGTGGAAGAAGATAAAAATTTAGAAAAAAGTGTTTCGAGTCAAAAATCACTTGAATTTGATAAAAATAATTTTGAAGATGATGATTTTGTTATTAGTTTAGATGAAGATGATAAATCAAAAGATTCTTTTAAAAATCAGAGTTTTAGTAAAGAAGAAACGAGAAGAATATCAACAACAAATCAACTATATTTACAAGAATTATCTAGGTACGATTTATACAAACCTGAAGGAAATATTGATGAAGAATCTGTTTTGGACCTAACCTTAAGTGATGAAGAAAAGGAAGAAGACAAGAGTTGTAAGAGACAAAGGTCTGAAGACTTAGTTGTTGAGTCGGACGAAGAAATGTTTTCGGTAAAAAAAAAAAAAACTCGACTTCTCTAAGTCTTAGTCAAGACATAGCTTCACAGGGAAAAACAATAACTTCTAACCTCACAAATATTTTAAGAGAATGCGGAGTTATTTCTCCGACTCCTAAGTCGCCTATTTTAATATCTGATGATTCTAGAGACTCGTTTGAATTTTCGCGGGCTATTTTTGAAGGTGCTGCTGAAGGTAGTTTTGTAACTTCAACACAGGCACCATCTAGTAGTTCTAATTTGAGGTTAAGAAGATCAACTAGTGTTTCGCCGGTTAAGAAGAAAAGATTGTTGATTAATAAAAGCAAGAGTGATTTTTCTTTTAATTTAAAAAATAAAGAAGAAATAAATAAAAAAATTATAAATAAAGAAGAAATAAATAAAAAACAATTAAATGAAGGAGAAATAAATAAAGAAGAAATAAATAAAGAAAAAATTAATAAAGAAGAAATATGTAATTATTTAAAATTAAATGAAGAAAAAGTCACTATATCTTTAAATATTGACCCAAAAATTGACTATAGTCTTCTTTCTACCCCAGAGTTAAACCGAAAGTTAAATTTATATGGTTTAAAAAACCAAAAGCGCCACCGCGCGGTAAAATTACTTACTTACATTTATGAGTCGCTTAATCCGTTAATTCCTGAAGAAATTGTACAAAAAAAATCGGGTTTTTTTGATAAGCAAGAAGAATATAAATGGAGAATTGACTCCCTCTTGCGGACGGATGATGAAGATGATAATAATAGAGTTTCTGTTGGAGAAAAAAATGATTGTGAGTCTTTATCTTCGGAGCTTCCGGAAGAAATGGATCTTAGTGATGATGAATATGACCAGAAAGATCTTAAAAGTGTTAAGGAAACTTTTGGAATTTTACTTGGGGAAGATGATGATCTTCATAGGAAAGTTTTGATGTATGAATCGCTTCCGCTGGAAACTTTGCACGGTATGATTAAAGACCGTGGAGTTAAATGTAGTGTTAGGGTTTTAATGGATTACTTGAATGAAGAGTGTATAGGCTTTTATGTAGAAGCTCCCAAGAAGTGGTCGAATGGTCGGAGAAAACCTAAAAAATTAAAATAAGATTTTTTTTGTTTGTAATTTGTATTTTTCTTAAGTATTAATTTATTAAATTTGTAAATTTATTAAGGAAAAAATGTTACATTGTAATATTTTGATATTCAAAGCTACTTAATTTAAATAAATTAATTAAGTTTCGATGACATTGGAATATTTATTTTTGGTTTAAGTAGAACGCGCTATCAATCCATTTGATTCCGGGCGCAAGAACTCCTTTACTATTGACGATACCATTTCACTTAAGATATCATTCAGTACATTAAGGTCTCTGTAATAAGAAAAAAAATTATTAGTTTTTACACTGATAGGAGGATTTATTGACTCTTGATAATTTAATTTATTTAAAGACAATTATTTAATTTATTAAATTTTAATAAATATTTTTTAACACTCAATAAATATTTATTTGGGAGAAAAGTACGTTTATTAATAGTTAATAAGTATTTGATAGCAACCTGGCTGTCACTATGTGAACTATAAAAAATTGAATTTTGCTTTAGTAAATAAGTTAAAAGCCCGAATTATTGACACTATAAGAGACAAATTTATGATTTGATTTTTTTTAAGCAATCAAATATCAATATCGTTGAATTTTGTTTGTGGTAATGTCTCAAGTAATGTTTTTACTAATCAAATTTTTAAAAATGATAACCACTGATATTTACTAATTAATTTTAAATAATTAAATAGATTATCCGGAGACACCAATTATTGGCAGGTTAAAAAACTGATTGATCTAATTATTGACATACCTTAGCCCCAATTATTGACACCTATACTGCGCATGCCTACAATCATCTGCTTATTCTTATTTATCCAAACTTATTATTAAGTAATCAATTTTATTAAAGTTTATCAATAATAATTTCCATAAATGATTAATTACTTTTAAAAATATAAAAATTAATTTTTAAATAATTTATTGAATCAGAAGAGTTCAAACTCTTACAGTTAATTTTTTGGGTTAAAGTAAAAAAAAGGCGTCTTGGCGCTGTCGAATGGCTGTCAATATGAGATTCAACTTAAAAATTATCAACTAGTTATTGACACCCATTATTTAAATATTATAAAGGAAACAATTAATTTCGATTATTCAATTTTATAAATTTTTCATATATTGTTAATTAAAAAATAAAAAGATCATAATATTAGACGAAGAAATTAATTTAAACAGCATTAAAAAAAAATGCTTTTCTAATCAAAGTTGTTAAGAAAATAAACGTTCGTGGTTTGATCTGGTGCTTTTATTTTTTAATAATTAATATTTAATATTTTGAACTGAGTAATTTTTTTCAATTTTTTAATTAATTAAAATTTAATAAAAATTTATATAGTTATTCTTATTACAGATGATTAAATATACATAAAAATAATTTGGGGAGTCAATATTTAGACCTCTGTCAATGATTGGGGCTTTTACCTTAATGACTTTTATTAAATTGCACTCAACTTTCTTAAATTTTGACGATTTTTAAGATATAAGCTCATCCCGATGTTACAATCATCAAGACCTTTTATTTAAATACCCACATGCATTTTGATATATTTTTTATATATACATATATATAATGATAGATATAAATATATGAAAAATCGTTGTGGGTACCCAAATGAAAGGTTAACTGTTAACAAATATTTATTAACAGTTCATAAAGCTTATTAAATATAAAAATATCCTTCTATCAGTGTATTAAGGGGAACTTATCAGATAAGATTAAAATTTTTTTTTTATTATTGGAAAATTTTAAACTCACTGGATTTCTGGAGAGGCGCACAATTCCGTGTAATATTTTAATTTTGGCTCGGTTCCGCTGGTCCTTAGAGTACATACCAGCCCATTTGCAAATGTAAAAGTTATCATTTGGCTTGACTTTGACGTAGGTAAAATCGCTTTGTTATTTATTTGCGTATTATCGTAACCAGTTGTTAAATCACGGATTCCTATTATTGTGTATTTTCCTCCTGAGATACTTGATGGATACTTTAATAAAAAAAAATTATTACTTGTACATAAATTCAGTAAAAAAAAAAATAATTTTTTCTGTTTAAAAATATTTCTTAAAAAAATTAATAAATAAGAAATTTAAATAAATATTTTTAAACAAAGAATTATGTTTAAAAAAAAATTTTTTTTTAAACAAAAAAATGTTTTTTTTTATAAAAAAAAATTTACAATAATGCAATATAATTAATATCCTTGTAGAAAGGTGAAAGAACAAACAACAATTTAATAACAGGCATTGATAAAATAACAAATAACAACGGTGGTAATAACGCTAAAGAAGTCAATAACATTATTAAAAACTTATTAATCCAGTAACTAGTCACTACTTCGGACATTGCAATTATTATTCTTAATTTATTAACTTAGATGTCATTAATAATTAATAATTAATAATATTAATCAAGAAAATATATTAATTAACTAGATAACAAAAAATAACATTTCTTAAAGTCTATAACAAGTGTTTAATGTTTTAAACTACATTGTAGACTGTATTGTAATGCCCAAAGACACATACATATATCCGAGGCATTTATGCCAGCTCATGCTCATATACACGTAATTGCTAATATATATAGATTGTATACAATCAACCGTAATGGAGTGATGCATTTAAGTCTAAACACTCGGCTAGAAACTAGTTGTCTGGACACCAGTTGACCTTCATACTTTAGCGATAATATTGTACTTATTTTCCTTTCAATATTTCGTCATTTATACAAATGTATGTACATATTACTCTACATTCAATTTACAATACTAGAGTTTTTATTCTTATTTTTTTTTGTTAATTTTTTGGTGTCAGGATAAAAAACGATGATGTAAAAGAGAAAAAAAGAATTTTTTTTTTTATTTTTTCTCTAGTTTTTAACACTACCTTTTTATATTAGGTAATTACTAAATCAAATTTTTAGGCATATTAATAATAAAAACTAGCAACCTTGCAGTCACTACGTGACTGCCGTGACTTGTGAAATATAAATAAAATTTTGCTTTATTAAATTAATGAATTTTATTAAATTGCACTATACTTTCTTAAATATTGACATTTTTGAAAATGTAAGCTCATCCTAACATTACACTCATCGAGACATTTCATTTGAGTACCCACATCAATTTTTCATATAATTCATATATATCACAAATACCATATATATAAAATATATAAAAAATACCATGTGGGTACTTAAATGAAAGGTCTCGATGAGTGTAACATCAAAATGAGTTTATATCTTAAAAAATATCAATAATTAAGAAACGACCTTGTATCTCGTGAACTATTGACATTTTTAAAGATATAAGCTCATCCTGATGTTACACTCATCAAGAGCTTTCATTTGAGTACCCACATGAATTTTTCATATATTTTTCATATATACATATATGTAATATATATAAATATATGAAATGTATGGTATTTGTGAAATATTTAAATATATGAAAAATTGATGTGGGTACTCAAATGAAAGGTCTCGATGAGTGTAACATAAAAATGAGTTTACATCTTAAAAAGTGTCAATAGTTTACAAGATACAAGGCCATTTCTTAATTATTGACATTTTTAAAGATATAAGCTCATTTTTATGTTACACTCATCGAGAACTTTCATTTAAGTACCCACATGGCATTTTTCATATATTTTATATTTATGGTATTTGTGATATATATAAATATATGATATATATGAAAAATTGATGTGGGTACTCAAATGAAAGGTCTTGATGAGTGTAACATCAGGATGAGCTTATATCTTTAAAAATGTCAATAGTTCACGAGATATTAAGTCATTTTTTAATTATGTATCTAGAGAAAAATTTTTCTTATACTTTTAATAAAATAGATATCTACTAAATTAACTTTCATTCATTTTCTGTTAATTCTTTTAAGTGTAATTTTTAACACTACCTTTTAATTTTTTTTTTTTCGGTAATTACTTCATCAAATTTTAAGATATAAAATAAATATAATAAAAATAATATTTAAAAATATAACTTACAGTGTTAGGTTTGCCCTCAAAATTTCTCAAACGTTCAAAAATTTTTTTAATAATTTCTTGTTCATGACAAATCCAATAAGAATTGTCATTAATATGTCTACCATACCTATAAAAAAAAAATAATTATTATTATTCAATATTATTTTTTATTTAAAACAAAAAAAAAATAAAATAATAATAATAATTACTCCGTAAAAATCTCATTCAATTTATCCAACAAAGTCAATCCCATAGTCTCAAGATAAGCAGCCATCTCAGCGACACGAACTCCAGCAGAAATTCCATCTTTATCTAGGACATTATCGCCACACATGAATCCAATAGCTTCTTCGAAGGCAAACAACACTTGCTTGTTAATTTTTTTCAACTCATAAGTTCTGTTTCCCATCCATTTGAATCCCGTCAAAGTTTCTTCAAATTTAAAGCCTTCTTTTTTAGCCATAGAGGCAAGAATTTTACTAGAAACTGTGGAAGCCATCATGTATGTGTCAGATATATTTTTGTCTGGGAATTTTACACGGTATCGATGCAACATCCACCAGCCTAGAAGAGCTCCTAGTTCGTTTCCGGTAAATACATGCCAATCTCCACTAAAAATTTATTAAAATTTTAATTTAAATAAAATTGATTAAAATTTTAATTTAAATAAATTTTATTAAAATTTTAATATTAATAAAATTTATTAAAATTCTAATTTCAACAATTAGAATTAATTACGTTTCTTTTTTAACAGCGCAAGCCAATCGATCAGCGTCAGGATCATTAGCGAGTATCACACTGGACTCATTAGCCTCAGCAGTCTTAATACTTAAATCTAATGCACTCTTTCCTTCCTCTGGATTTGGAAATTTAACAGTTGGAAAATCAGGATCGGGTAATTTTTGTTCTTCCACTGCTACAAATTCCTAAAAAGTAAAATATAATTATTTTAAAATTAATTATACTGAAATTAGCAGACACAAAATTCATTAAATTTTTTATAAAAAATTACCTTAAAATTGGCAGCTTTGAACGCTTGACACATATATTCATACCCAACGCCATGCATGGCGGTGTAAGTAAAAATTAAACTAGTATTTCCATTAACCTCCGGGTAAATAGTGTCATCTCTGATCAATTTGTTGTAGGAAGACATTACCTCATCCAGCGGATCTTTGTAAAGTCGAGAGGAATAAATTCCACTCGTAATCCATGCTTCCTCAGCAGGCTCCAGATTCTGGAGAATGTACTTAGAAATTCCTTTGTCATGAGGAGAAATTATTTGCGCGCCGTTCTCCCAATAGACTTTGTACCCGTTGTCTTCCTTCGGGTTATGCGAAGCAGTAATCATTATTCCCGCGGCACACTTGTACTTCTGGACTCCAAAGGGTATGTACGGCGTTGGACATACTTTTGAGTACAAGTACACTCGGATTTTATTTGAAATAAATATCGCTGCAGTCAGCTCAGCAAACCTACAAATTTTCCATCATTAAGGTAAAACCCCCAATTACTGACACTATTAGAGACAAATTTATGATTTGATTTTTTTTAAGCAATCAAATATCAATATCGTTGAATTTTGTTTGTGGTAATGTCTCAAGTAATGTTTTTACTAATCAAATTTTTTAACATGATAACCACTGATATTTACTAATTAATTTTAAATAATTAAATAGATTATCCGGAGACACCAATTATTGGCAGGTTAAAAAACTGATTGATCTAATTATTGACATACCTTAGCCCCAATTATTGACACCTATACTGCGCACGC